CTCAGATTATTTTGTCTACTACAATCATTAAAACGAAAAAAGACCAAACTTCAGAACCTCGCTTGTTTAGTACTAATGAAATTTCTCATTTGTGACCATTAGAAAGCCAAAAATACAGTCCAAAGTGTTAGCCTAGCTGTGATCAGCACTACATGAAAAGGAAGGAAACGGGATTCTGGCAACAGAACTTGCCCTATGCAAGAGCACTCGGCACTACAGCTTTCAGCCGTCCCTTGAGCTGCAGATGCCCAAGCACAGCCCCCAGCCAGGATGAAAAAAAAAAAAATCAAGCCCTCACAAACAGCAAGGATGGCTTCTTCGAGTAGTAATTCGCTCTCTAGAAGGCAAGTTAGGAAAGAAACGACCGACTGCAAACACCACAACAACAGGCTCTTCACCTCCAGCCAGAAGTCCAAAACCAGGTGCAATACTAAACAGAGAACGTGCTTCCACTGCATCGTCTGGCTCTGAGCTTCTGTTCAGACGGGTAAGTACCTGGAGCAGGCAGCTGCCTAATGACACCCATCTGAACGGACAGAAGGCTGCAGAAGTGTTGCTTTCTTGTCTCTAGCTTGTTTCACTGGGCCAGACCTAGTATTTTAGATCTAAGTTATTGTCCATATTTTTCAGCAGCCGAAGTAGCACCCCGAGAACCCCTACTCGGCATCCACCTAGCCCAACAAGAACCGAAAGCCTAAGTTTTCAAGGCACCTCTCTGTGTCTGCCCAGCGATATTCTGATTTTGCCCTAGCTGAGCAGCTCGGCACCACTGTGCCAGCTACAGCCCCACAGCCTCGATCTTCTGAAGTTTAAGGGATTCGGGAGGCGGGAGTCCACCAGGCTCTCGCACAGCGCATGGCTGCAGCAGGCAGGGACATGGCTCTGTGTCTGCCGTTTGGGCTTTTATGCAACAGAGGGATTCTGGGTTTCAGTCTTTGCTCCCAGCCCGTTGCTCCAGGAACGCTTGCTGAAGAAGGACCTTGCTCAGCTCCCAGCCGCAACGCCCAAGTGAACACAGCCCAGAGTTAAGCACAACTGAGATGTAAGTTGCACCTTATCCTGAAAGCCTTTTCCTTGCCAGTTCCTTAATTTAACATGCTACCCACTGCAGTTCCTTAAGTCTTTAACACTTTTTTGCAGATCCAGTCCTCTGCTGTTTTAGCATCTCAGCTTTAGGGTGTGCTGCAGACAAGGATAAAGTGAAGAAAGATTGGGTCTAAGGTAGATATTTTATTAAGGTACAGGCCACTCGAGGACAGATACTGAGGCACTTTTGGGAAGGGGATAAGCAACACAAGTGAGAGTAATTCTATATGCCCTTTCGTAAGTATATAGCTACTGCCTTTCCTCAGCCAGCTGCAAGAGATCCACTAAAAAGAGGTCACATCACATGGTTCAGGGTGATTAGACCCTGCGGTTTAGGATTACTTTTATGTACTTGAAGATAGGGAAAAAAACCCCACCACCTTCCATTTTCTAATTCACACCTGTAACAGAGCAAGCAGCCTGGCACTCCAGTCTGTACGAACGCTGCCATCTGAGCTTACCCGCCCTTTGGTGACTTCCACAGGGCCTGTCCCAGCTCTGACCACAGGACTCCACATGAGTGTTCCCACAGGAAAGAGACGCATACGATAAATTTTCTAAATGATGCACGGTCAGTGGCGTGGGGGAGAAGATGGTACAAATTCTTGCTGACTTGTCAACTCTCTAAGACCCTGAAAGGAGAATAATATAAAGAAGGGACCAAGCAACCAAAACACATGGTGCAGCTGATGCTCCGTTAAATGTAGCAACACACCAGATACTCGAGGCTTTCGCCCCACCATGAAAATGCTTAACAAAACAAAGTCATCTGTTTTCCTTACTACTGCTGCCACCTTTTTCTCACTGCTGTGTGTGGCAGACGACACTTTTTATTTAATGCCCCACTGGGCTCCTTATGCCAAGCAGCTAGGGACTTCTTCCCTAGCCGGCGTGGATTTATTGTCTGTCCTGTACCCATCTCCCACACGACTACTGAAACAACCATGTACAGAGAAGAGCTAAAAGAACACCTGACCTGACCTTGCCCCCCCGCCCCCCAGTTTGCGCACAAGTTATCCAGAATGTCCAAAAAAAATCCATCTCTGCTTCAGAGTGCATGTGGGTACTTCTGTGTAACCCACCGCGTGGCTGCAGATGGGGGATGTCCCAAATGTAGGTGCATCATCTTTCAGAAGGAGAGGACGTAGGTTGGGTTAAGAACGGCCCTTCTCCCACAGAGAACATACCCGGAGAAGAAACCAAAGCCGTCAGCAAAGCAGCAGGGAGGGGCAGACCTGCCCCCACTTACCGGGCAGTAAAGCAGCCCTTGCCACATAGGAACAACCAGGTACCCTCACAGACTGTGTCACTTGTCAATAAAACACTGTTGCCACACGTGAAATGAAGCGAAACTGCAAACATTCGTGCACATCAGTGACAAAAGGAGCATAAAGACACCTCTCCACACAAGGGAAGCTCCCATGAGGCGCCAGGAGAAGGAACCGTGGTGGTGGGAAGGCAGACACCGGAGAGTCCGTGGCGTGAGGAGGTCCCAGCGACCAGTTCTGGGCACACAGCACAGCAATGATGGTACCAGCAGGGCACCAGGAAATGGCAAAAAAAGTCAATTCCATTTTGCAACATGGTAAAGGGTTTCTTTTTGTGTTAAGGCCAACCTGCTACCTTCTGTACAGGGAAAAAGAGCAATCAATGATCAACAGTAAAGTCCAGAGCTCCAGAGCTCCCGAGTTCAGTCCACAGCAGCAGTACATACGTGACAATCTTTCCTCTCAGTATTCAACTTCACACTCACGCAGTTCAAAAATCCAAGAAGTTTTCTAAAAAATCCACTCTCAAAAAAGCTTAAACAAAAAAATTTCCTCAGAATCTGCCAGGTTCTTACTGACTTCCCAGCATCCTGGGATATGGGTGGGATAGGAAAATATAGCAAGAATATTGTAAAATAGAGAATGTGCTAAAATCTCTTCATTCTCAGATCACTTAAGAACAGGCTCATTACGAGACGTACTCTAGATAAGGTTATTTAGAAATAAAGTACCTTGTCTTTGTGCTTCATGAAGAGTAAGCTTCCCATAAGCTCGTACTTTGATTTTTACATTATCCCGAGTTCCCTTTCACCTACCTCCCTCTGGTCTAAGCCACAGTGCCAGCATGAACCCTGAGAGATGCATCAGTAGTTTTGCCTGGAAAGCCTAAGGTCTTGCCCACAGAGCTGCCGTACAGACAAGGACAGACATAGGACAAGGACAGACACAGAAACGCGCACTGGAAGAGGAACACTTGTGGTTGGATCCGACTATACCAGCTACTAGGAAGAAAATTAACTCTATCCCAGTCGAAACCAGGACACTAACACGCATGGCAATACTTAAAAAGGTTTCTCTTCACACACATCTGAAGTGGCGTGACTGCAGGAAGAGGGATTTACTTTTTGCCAAAGTAACTCTCTCATCATTTGTGAACCTGTAAGTTTAGCTAATTACAGATTCAGAGTCACAAAAGAAATCGCACTGATCAACACTCCGGGTCAGGTCAGGAACAGGCAGATAGAGGAGACGTTTAATGCTGTTTTGCTCAGTTACTAGACTCCATTGCCTTATGTATCTGGGATTCTGTCACAGCCGAGACCGAGTTAGGACTAAATACGCTCTCTGCTTAACCTGCGAAAGACGATACAGACTGCAGCGTGATACAGGACAACGTAGCGTTTAACCCTTCAATGGCACAGGAGGCATCGGCCTCACTTGCACGCAGTTTTGCTGTATCTTTGCTGAATATACCCTGGGATCAGAGTACTGATCAGAACGGCACCGTGTCCAGCATGAATTTTGCACCTCTGGTAACTCAAGGGTGGCAGTGAAGTGGGGGCTGGGCAGGAGTGGAGCAAATGGATTCTTAAACCAGCGCACAGCAGTGTCCCTCCCACCCTCCTGGGCACCTCTCCCCCAGGAACACCAGGATGCTCAGAGATAATACAGCTATAGAGAGGCAGCATCTTTACAGGATGGGGCTCCAGTAAGTGTTAGGGGCCAAAACCGGTGTGAGCAAAGAGGTAAGAATGAGCACTCTCCCACTGGGGCTTAGGAGGAACCTGCGAGGTTACAAGGAGCAGTGCTGTACCTGAGAGGAAGCCGAGACAAAAGGGAGACCAGCCTCTCGCTACAGGACTCAGGTTGGCTAATGTTTGTTAGGGAGGGCTCAGGGGTGCGACGGGAAGTGACAAGACAGCGCAGCTGCAATAGCGGTCAGTCTGAGAAGCCAAAAACTCCAGGGGTTGGCAGCAGCTGGCTCTTCCCTTCCCCTGGGGATTCTCTGTTCCAGTTCCTAGAGTATGAGCACCCCCTTCTTCAGCACCTGCACTTAAGTTCTTAAATTTGCAGAATTTTTTTTTATTTTTTTTTTAAAAATACCCCTGTACTTTAATCACGAAAAACCAGTCCCCGCCCCAATTCTACTAAAAACATGATTGTCCATAGCTGGAGGCTTATTGAATTACCTCACCCCATCACCATTAAGTTACTCAAGTGTCCAATTAAACAGCAGGCAGCTCAACCTTTAGGTAACACAACTACAAAAATTGGATCGTGCTCTCTTCTCTCTCCCCCCTCCTCCTCCTCCTCCTCCTCAAGAGAGCTCCGTTACTTTTTTCTAAGCGCCAGTGCTACTCCGACTGCTACAGCTAATATAGCTACTGCAGCAGCCCCACCGTACAGCAATATAGATTTCCCTTCTGGCAATAAGATAGGCTTCTCCTCTGCAGCGGAGGATTTCTCTTCTATTTCTTCCAAACGGCCCTCTTTCCCCACTTTTTTTTCCCCTGGAAGCAGTATTTTCTCAGGTTCTGGTGCAGCCTTTTCTTCTGATGGGACTAACTTTGGGACAGGTTTACTTAATACGGGGATTTCAGGTTCAACAAGCTCTTCAGCCTCTTTTCCCTTTTCCTCCTGTTTTGTACGCAGAAGTGCGGAGGGGTGTGTTTTTTCAACAGCAGCAATTTCAGCTTGAGGTTTTACTTCCTGTAGAGAAGCAGGGGTTTCTGGAAATGCTGCCTGCGTGGTCTCTGCAGCGACGGCTGACACCACTGCTTCCTCAATCCCCTCCGGTATCTCTTCCTTCTCCACGTGAACAATATCCGAGTTGGAAGAGTTGTTCTCACTCCTTTCTTCACCCCCTCCGTTGCTGTCCAGGCTTTTGACTTCTTCAGGATCCATGGCCACTTGCTGCCAGGACTCGGGTCCCAGGGAGACTGGCAGGCTCTCTGTGTGCCAGCTCTGACTCGCTGACAGGGAGACGGGCAGGCTCTCCGACTGCCACGACGTGGTCACCGTGGGGGACTCCGGGGGGCTCACCTGTCCCGAGTTGTCACTGGTCAGGATGTAGATGTCATTACTGTCCTCTGCGATGAGCCCGGGGTACTCTTCCTCTTCGGATTCCAAAGTAAAGACCGTCCCCTACGAACGAAAAGGAGGACACAACACGTGAGCGATGGCTTCAGCATTACCTCCCCTGTATGGGAAGGAACAGGACACCTGGAAACTTAGTGGGGCTGGAAGAAAGATGAGAGGGCCTCTGCAGGAGCAGCAGTTGTCTGACCTACATTTTAGAAGAGATTACAAAACCCAGCTGGTGCAGCTGGCATTTCCAGAGAATGGAGCCACTTGTAAGAGCTTTGCTGGGAGCTCCTCCTTTCCCTGACATTACTGCACCGCCGAGTACATCACCAAAACATAGCACGTGGGCGTTACTAACCAGAGAACGAGATGCCAAAGTCTGAAACCAAACTGAAACAAAACAAGAAAAAGAAAGCAAACACAAGTACATGAGCCCAGCTGAATACCACTCCCTTCTCCATTTTGTGCAAGTGCTCCATATTGCTTGTCTGTTTTCATCTAACAGTGTTTCTCTTACATTAATTTTATCACATTTCCAGTGCTATCTGAAGCCTGTATTTCTGCTTTGTACCAACAAGCTGGAACCTACAGTATTTTCTAGTATTTTACTACAAACAAATTTAGCTATTCTTAAATGAGTTCACTTTCCAAGACTGTCATCATAACTTTGGCTACACAACTTAAGTTAAAACAACCAACCAAGCACAGACATCCGAAGGTGCTGACAGAGTTTGCTTGTTTTTATTTAGCTAGGAAAAATCTGTAGGCATACTAAAAATTTGACAGCGGGCTCCAGTTAGAGAAACTGCAAGTGCAAAATACTGACTGATTCCCTCCTTACAGAAAGAACAGCACCGTCGATCCTAGTCACGCGTGGACTGCTGAGTATGTAACACAGAAGAGATTTGCTTCAAGGGGAAAGAGGAAAAAAAATTAAGTACAGAAGAACCTGAGATGGGTGTGATACCAAGAACGTAAAAACAAGAGACAGGGGCAGAGAGGAACCCTGAAATTTGCTATGCCATATAATAGAAGTCTATGAAACCATTAACAAAGATTCAATTACTTTCACTTTCTTCTCTTAACAAAAATTATTTGAACATTTTATCAAGTACTGCAGTGCTGGGAGCCCCTTCTATGCAAATTCCTCATTCAATTATCAAGCTTTCCCGTACAGTTCCATCATAACATGAAGAAAAAAAAAAAATCTAAAATCCATTCATCCCCTCTCTCTCCCTGCTCCTTTCCACACGCAATAGTTCTCCTAAAGCACTCCAAGCAGTTGTCCCCCTCTTTTTTAAACCCTTCCCAACACCTGTGAATTTGGGGGTTGGTTCTGCTCCAGTCTCCTACCGATGGTTTCCCATTCCAAGATACCTCCTCGGTTGTTCCACAACTTTTTATGGATCCACGCAGTGGAACTGACCCAAGTTAAAACGAAACACATTCTTTATTTTGCTGAGTCATTTTTAACCCTGATCAGTGTCCAGTCTGGCCCACTGAGATGCCCCGGTGTGCGAGCATGACCAGGGGTGGAGCAGGGTCAGCACCTGCACCTGCTTGCACTGATGCCGAAAGAGCCGAATCAATACCAGTGCCCTGCTCGGACAGCAGAAGGAAAATGCATTTCAGCTTTGCTAACTCCCAATTATCACTTAGTTCCTAATATGCAAGGAGTTCAGGGCCTACAAGTCAATGGTTTCTAACTTTGAGCAGGCATACTCAGAGAGCTCGTAGCGCCTGGGCCAGCAGCAATGCACTTTTCTCTCAGGGAAGCACAAGAGAACCGGACTCTCCACAGACACGGGTGTACCCTCCACAGAGACACCAGACACGCTGCAACTCCTCACTTCCCTAGAAGGTGGAAGGATCTACACACACACAAAAAAACCCACCAAAAAGCAAGCAGGCAGGCACAGGAGAGACAGCACAAACACTGCTGGTCACTGGCAGTAGCTGCAGCGAGAGCAAATGAAGCAGGAGTGGACCCCTGGCGAAAGCACTAAACGGGCACTTGAGAAAGCCGTGCAACTTACGGCAGTACACTTTAATCTTTCACGGTGGAAATTATTACCATATCAGTAAACTTTGTGCAAAGGAGTCAGTGGAGCCTGAGTTGAGTATGGGAGTGAGGTTTCTCTATCCGCTCCCCAAAAACACCTTGCCATTTCACAAAACTTGATGGACCCATTCCTGGAGACTTTTGTACAACAGTGGAGGCTGTAGTACAGGACAGCACTGGGAATGTAAGGATTTTATAATGTATTTTGGCAGGGGTGGGATGTAAATCTCATATTCTCAGCCTGTGGAATTTTGGAAGATATTTGTGCATGAGCAAAGGAGTCTTGTAGAACACTTCAAAAGGAACTTTTCTTCATAAATGCCTTTAAATTGCTTGGATGCAGGAAACATCATCCAGCTCGGTAACATGTTCCGCAACTCTAAAGAGAAATGACGCACAGAGTTCCTCAGGGGAAGAGTTAAAAGTGATCAAGCCGTTCGCTAACCACTTAAGGATCACCACGAAGTTTTGATTCAGAATGAAATAAAAATTAATACAGCATTACATTTGTCAAAATGTTCAGACACCACACACACGCCCACAAACCCAAAGCAAGTTCTGCTCTGCAAGCAGTGACTGACAATTCAAGACTCCAGCACCCTCTTGAAAGTCGTTTCACTAGAAGAACTAAGTTTTTTTTTTAAATGCAGCTCAGGCCATTAAAACAAAATGGAGCTCTATGACCTAGGAGGAAGCAACCAGCATCACAAAGTAAGTGCAATGGAAAAGAAGAGCCAAGAAACTTAAGGAAAGGCAGAGGTTACCAGATCCAAAGAGACCAAATACTGAGCAGTGTGGGCCAGGGCTGCTGCGCAGCACTTGAGGACAGGACTCCACACGCAGCACTGACCTGTCCTGTTCCAGCAGACTCTCGAGAGCAGCACAGCCGGGAGAACTCACGGTGGTTAGCTTCCACCGCCCTGTGCTGAGAATGGAGAAGCAGCCCGCTGCCCAGACACTGAGATTGTACATTCACTCCTTTGATCATCAGCATTTTCTCTGGATGTTGATTAAGTAGGACATAGTCTCACTGTAATACAAGCTACTAACAGGCACCTATGATCACAGCAAATTTTTTATTTCCACAGGCGATAACAGACTCAGAACAACGGCAATTAAACAACAAAATGAACCTCTATACTACCCTCCTCTCTGCTCAGCTCTACCCTTCCACAAATCAGAATGAATTTCTTTCCCATCCACAGCACAGCACAACAAACCAGACTATGCCTGTGATCTGGTGCTAGCAAAAAGAACAGGGACACACACAACTGATGACAGCTCTTCTCTTAACATACCACTGGAAGTGCACCCATGCTGCTGTGACTGGTTCAACATGAAGCATATAGCAAAATATTCCAAAACCACACCATGCTTCTACGGGCTTGTGAGCTCTGGTGATTATAGCAAACCACTTTTCAGTAATAAACTAAAAAAAAGCACCGACTACGGCCATATTCAGACGGCCTAAATTCCCCTGAAGTTGCATACTGTACAGTGGCGAAAGCCAAGCGCCTTTGAGCAGTGACTCAGCAGCCCACGGCAGGGAGGAGGGAGCCACCTATAGTCAATGGGGACAATCGGGTACAGAGACTGCGGTGAAATTTAAGCCATCCTGATACTTCTCAATATGTATTTCTCCAGCCTCTGCGTCTGCTCTATTCCTGATCTACCACTCTTAACTCTTCCCTTTCCTCTCATAAGGAAAATGAAAGTTGTTCTTTAGAGGGAACCCACAGATGATTTGACCATGATAAAAATGCACAAGTAATATAGACAAAGTACCACCACAGCTACTATGTGGACCGGTAGATGCCCAGGCCCAGCAAAATATCTTAGCTCAGTATGATGTAATGCCACACATACTCAGCAGGTTAACAAATAGATGGGGAGGCAACATTGACATACAAGGATCAGGCATTAGTTATTCTAGTTATTCCCACCTATCAGGGCATTTTTTAAAGGCCATGTGCTTTGCCGAGAACTTTCACTGGAGATACGCTTCTCACAAAATACAGGAAAGATCTGGGCATAGGCTGAGGGTAACGTGCAAGATAAACTGCTTTGGAGAGGGTAAGGAAACGAAGGGATGGCAATACGGGGAACATGGGCAATCCTCAACATTTCAAATACTTCATGAATACGTGTACCAACACTACACACCCATCCTGCCTTCAGGAGAAGGGAGGGCCTAAGAGGCTCAAGCATTTTATTGTTCCTTTTCCCACGCAGACTGCACTGACCTCAAAAGAGTTATCAGTCACTGGCTCCCTATAAATCAGAGCCTTATAAAGCCTGGCTGACTCCTTTCTGTCTTTACAGACAATCTAACTTCCGTGTCAGTGCCTTGGGGACACAACTCTCCAAGCTTGACAGATCGCCCGAGGTTGAGAAATATGGGGGAAAGCTAACATGCTGAGTGTCAATGGGTAATTTCACTACTTTTTCATTAAAAGCTTATGAAGTTTTAATTGAAAAGCCAGCCAGTAACAGGCATTATTTAGGATACATGATTAATATTTCTTGAGCTGAATTAAGAGTTAATTCGGAAAGTCAAGAGGATAAAGCTAGGATTTTGTGCTGATTCAGTTGAGGTTTGCACTTGTTTGTTGTTTGGGTTTTTTTTTTCTTTTAAAGCAGCTGCAGTAAAAACTTAATGACATTTAGGACAATTCTCTTGATTCATCTACAGATGTGACCCAGAAGCAAAGCTCCCACAGACAGATTAATTCAGGACAGGATGGAACACGTGGAAGGATTTTTCATAACCTGAGGCCTTAGATAAGCCCTACACTTTAGATTTAACAGTAAATAAGGAATGAATGTAAGCATTTCTTTATCTGCTTTGTTTACTGTAAACGGATAGTCTACTGCTCCAGACCAGAACAATCAGAGTTCCTCTGTTTCAAATTTGGGATGGGAGACTTGCAAACGTGGAGTGTTTTTCCTCATCCAGCATACTTAGAACCACATCATGTATGTCCAGAGAAGCAAGAGT